AAACCTTAGCTTGATTGGGTAATTAACTTTGGCTAATACTGTAAGCGCATCACTGAAATAGATGGCTTGTTTATGTCTTTGAGCTGCAAATTAGCAGGAGCTATTTTTGATCAGGCTAATTTTCCCTGGATCAGAATTAGCCCGATATTTTGAATACTCGGGGCTCATGGAAACAAGCCTTACCAGACAGACATATGGGCTGACTCTTCCCAGGAGGGTTTATTTTTGTGTTTATGCCATGCGTTAAGGCCAGGCCCATTTATAAAAACAAACAAAAACTCAGATTGCAACTTCAGTCATCAAACCAAGCAATGAAAGGTATGTTTGTGAGCAGTATTTATTACAATAAAAGAAATGAATGTAAGGTTTGAAGAATAAAAAAACTCCCACTGTTTTATAAGCAATTATTAAAGATGTTTCCTTTTCCTTCAAATTAATGTCAAATCTTCCCCGCTTTTATAGTCTACTTGACTGATCTGTCCGAGTGGGGTACATGTACATGTAAATAAAATCCATCATTAGCTTAATATAGCAATTTATGTACTGTATGTCAACATCTAAGGAAGAAAGCGCATGGAATGTTGAATGCATGCTTGGCCTTTACTTTTCTATTGCTTTCTTAAAGGATGTATTCATCTTTGTTCCAATTTTCTGGCTGTTTTTCTCATCTAACAGTCTCATTTCTTCATCAATGTCTCTTCAGACTGATAAAAAACATTAAGGCGTGTTCAAAGTGTTCTCTCTCTCTCTCTCTCTGTCAACATCTACTGAAGAAAGCCCATGAATGTTGTATTCCTGCTTGGCCTTGACCTACTGTATCTACATGTACATGTATATTGCTTCCTTAAAGGATGTTTTCATCTTTGTTCCAATTTTCTGCCTGTTTTTCTCACCCCAGTTTACATTTCTTCATTAATGTCTCTTCAGACTTATAAAAAACATTAAGGTTTGTTCAAAGTGTTCTCTCTCTCTCTCTCTCTCTCTCTACTTCAACATCTACAAAAGAAAGCACATGTAAGGTTGTATTCATGCTTTTGACTAATCTATTGCTTTCTCAAAGGATGTATTCATCTTTCTACCAATTTTCTGCCTGTTTTTCTCATCTCAGTTAGATTTTTGTCATCAATTTCTTTTCAAACTAATAACAAACTTTGAGGCATTTTCAAACTTCTCTCTCTCTCTCTTTCTCTGCATCAACATCTACTGAAGAAAGCCCATGAATGTTGTATTCATGCTTCGGCTTGAGTCCTTGACTTATCTATTGCTTTCTCAAAGGATATATTCATCTTTGTTCCAATTTTCTGGCTGTTTTTCTCATCTAACAGTTTCATTTCTTCATCAATGTCTCTTCAGACTGATAAAAAACATTAATGCGTGTTTTCTCTCTCTCTCTCTCTCTCTGTCTCTCTACATCAACATATATATTGAAGAAAGCCCATGTAATGTTGTACTCATGCTTGGCCTTGACTTTTCTACTGCTATCTCGAAGGATGTATTCATCTTTGTTCAAATTTTCTGCCTGTCCTTCTCATCTCGGTTTCCTTTCTTCATCAATATCTCTTAGGACTGATTACAAACACTAAGGCTTGTTCAAAGGTTCACTCTCACTTCCATTCTCTATATTATTGACTTCCTGCATGTACATACATGTACACGTATTAATGTCTTTAGTTTTGCCCTGTCTCCGTCTAGCTACTGTACACATTTTTCAGCCCCCCCCCCCCCCCCCCCGTTTCTTTCTTTCTTTCACACACTCTCTCTCTCTCTCTCTGTGACTCACTACATTTTACATTTCAGTGGATCAGTTTTGCAAAAGAACTTATCCTTTCTCTCTCTCTCTCTCTCTCTGTCTGCTTTCCACATTACTGTCTGTCTCCTACTGTGTATAACTATCTCTGAAAGAGCAATCATGCTGCTGTGACAACATGTGTTCGCAGCAACCATTTGAAGCTGTGAGATATGGATGGATCAATGTTTGGTCACCATCTGAAATGCTTTGACAGCCATTTATTCCACGCAGAAAAAAATTTGTGCAATGTTCAGTATGCAGGCATGAATTCTTTAATTAACCACAGCTTTCATGCAAAGTGCTGGTAGTCTAGAATACATCTTCATGAAAATGTAGCATGTACAGACCTATACATAACTTGATTTTATTGTTAATGTATACAACAGGAGTATGTGAGCGAAAAGTTTCCTCTCCTTTCTCTGTTCTCTCTACCCCTAAAAAAGTCCCCTATCCATTCTATCCTTCCTAGTCCCTACCCATCTTCCATCCTTCCTCCCCTCTTCCCTCCCCTCTCGTCTAATCTTCTTCCTCCCTCCCTCCACATCCCCCTCCCTCTCTGGCCTCCCTCTCCCTCTCTTTCCCACTCCCTCCCTCCTTCCCTCGATCTCTTTCTCCTCTCTCATTCCAAATTCTCTTTTTACCTTTAATTCAATCTCACACTATCACACACTGTACAAGCATACATTCTCCTTAACATTCATCCAATTAAGATAGAGATAACTCCTGAAACAAAAACACTTTTCCTAATGCAAGTATCATTTTCGTAAATTTTCAATTAGTATTTCAATCTAAACATCATAATACTAAATCTTGAGATGATTGTGCACTCATCTTTGCTCCATAAACAAGGATAAACACTGGGCCGTACAACCATAAACATGATGAAGACTGGTAATCCAGCACGCTGAAAGCTGGCAGGCACAGACAGATCTACGGGAGTTCCCGAAAGAGGATGGTAATTTGTCCAGCTTAATTACGTAGCGGATGACAGGTGCTCACAATTCAATCTGTCTCCAATTGAACGATAGTTCACATGTGATAGAGCAAACCATGACAGCAAATAAAAACTACTTCACATGTAAATCAGAGTAAAAAGTACATTTCTGTTCACCAGAGCTACAATGTATTTAAGGATTTGGTGATTTGTAAAAGCAATTTTCTCACAGCCTTTTCACACACAGCTGAAATTCATCGTATCTAGAGATGATTAGTATAAACATGTTTAACTCAACAGTTTTAAACACCTTTAAAGAAAATTTTCCGTGTGAACATCATTTATACGATGTTCGGATAGATACGAAGTTGCGATTCATATGCCCCTCAAAGCAGCGAAGTTCGTATCTAGAGAGCTTGACATTTTGTGTGTGAACGGTTTAAACGTGTTTAAACTGGATGGAGCGTGTGCTTTGTTTGATATGACCTGACCTTCAATGCGCAATGGCACTACTGCGCATTTTAAAAGCAGTAGTTAATCACAAAACGATTAACGATCGCACCGAAATTTCTGTGTGTGAATGATGTCGTATGTACAGCTGATTAGTTTAAAGCCCTATAAACTAATCATGTTCATAGAAGTTTAGCTGTGTGTCAAAAGGCTGACAGTGACATCAATGTATTTCACTGTATAAAACCAGGGCTCTCTTTAGGTTTACCAGAGCAATTATGGGGCTTTGGAGAGCTAATTTGCCCATGTTCCTGGGTATTTTTCCGCTGATGTAAATTAAGGGCAAGAAGTGTTAGTGGGGGAGAAAAAAATTGTGTGCACGTTATGAACTCCAATAAAAGCGTACTTGATGTTTAATAAGAGATACACATACATGTACAATGTATGTCAGGCACCGCTCATTCCATTTTTCTAAAGGCTTAATGAGTGAGCTTGTGTTCTCCGCTTGATATGCACTAAAATGCACCAATAAATTAACGGCTCAATTTGAACTACATGTACATTTACATGTAAATGAAAAAATGTGTACCTCAAACAATAATAAAGAAATCTTCAGTTTATTTCATCTCCTTTCATATTTTGACTACCCCTTCACCTACAGGTACACTCTCATTCTGCCTGAATATAATATCTGTCAATCTGTCAATCTTACCCTCCTATCATTACAAGTAATTCTCTCTATCCTTATGTTCCCTCTCCTCCCATCCCCTCGTCCCTCTTCCCTCCACCTATGAAGGTCTACATTTCAATCAATCGCAACTCTTTACAAAACAGGGCCCAGGTCTGCATGTTGCCCTCGATCAATAACACTACTTGATTATAGAACATTTCCAAACATGCTTCATCAATCACAGATTGAATTGACACTCTTGTTTACTGGGTTCGTGCCCACACACTTCAAGTGATCAGTTAGTTTTCACAAACTGGTAAATAAAGCTAAATGAATATGACTGCACGATTCAATGACACAAGCATTCAGAATCTTTCAACCATCACTTTCGACTGACTTTGGTTGCTTTAGCTGAATGTCAAGGATAAAGAATTCTAAACAGCAGTCTATACAGAATCATTTGAGCAAAACAACCAATGGACAAAATGGTCAGTAAAATGGAGGGAAAAAAGCTCTTCACACTGCTTGGTAATGGTAGGCACAGAAAGATAAAAATAGAAAGGAAGACCCAACATCCCATCGCATGCCTGCACACCATCCTGTGAGATACTTGTTAACTATGTACATGTAAATGAATGCCACGACCGACCGTTGTCTCGTAAAGCCCCTGGCTCAGGTATTAGGGTTGAATTTAGCATTCAATTAAAGCGGAACTCTGGACGGCCAGTGGCAGACAAATTATGAACTTGAACAATGAGGCCTGACTGATGGCTTATGACCTGGTATTGAGTACAATGTACTTCCAGTTCCAGATTTCTATTTCACTGAGCTACACAGAAGTCCCCCTCCTTCTTGCTCACTCTCTCTCTCTCTCTTTCTTCCCTTCCAATATATATTTCAATCTTGTTCTTTCTATCTCTCTCCTTCTGCTCCCCCTCCCTCTCTTTCCTTCTTTCCCTCTCTTTTTTTCTCTCTCTCTCTTTTTTTCCTCTCTATCCTTCCCTCCCTCTTTTTTTTTCTTTCTCCCTCTCCTTCCCTTCATTCCTCTATCAGGTTGGCAAACATGTACATTGTAAATTTGTATGTACAGTACATGTACATATTCTAACATTTGAAAAGAAAGTCACAACTGTAAACCACATAAACTGTATACTCACTTGCAAATTTCTTGTTCTTTTCATCCATGGAGAAGAAACAGTGATCGAATGCAAATGTCTGCAAAATAGAGATCAAACATAAATGCGATTCATACAATACAGTCAATGACTCAATGCAAACAATTAATAAATTTTAAAAAAAAGAATCAGCATACCAAGAACAATTACAGTGTAGTGATAGCAGGGAACAATTTTCCTCAAATTTTTTGATTAGCAATTTCAGCCGATGGATAAATATTTCAAATGAAACTCTGTACATTTCTATGGAAGAAAATTGCTACACAAAAGATATTTTGTATAGCAGTCATGCAAAAATGCATAGCAAATTGCGATGCGATACCAGGAAAATTATTCCCTGGATAGTAAAATATGTACAGTAAAGCAAATTAGATGCTAATAAAAACTTGATGATCTAAATTGAGATCAGATTTGTTCGCAATTCCTCCTGTACACTTGTACGTCCATTCCTAGATCCGGATTGGCGGATTCTCTCCCAGAATTAAGTTTTGTTTTGGACTCCTTCCAAGCTTGGAAACTGTTACAAAATAATGTGAAATAAATGTTTATACCCACCATCAGTATCACAAAATTTCACAATGATCTGTTCATCTTGAATTTACATCACCTATTTGTATATAGCACAAGTACAGCATTACAATAACAAATACATTTCCATTTCCATTGCTGAGGTCAGCACATATGAATGTAACTCATAAAGTAATTTAAAAAAGTGCACAAAAGAGAACAGTGTACAAGCATGTACAGTACTAATCAAAGAGAGTGGAAAAACAGTTTGCCTGTATTCATTGCACAAATGATAACAAAATAGTACTGGTAAATTCTATTTTACTAGTAAATATACTTACTCTTATGCCTTTCCTGTGTTGTGTATTCCAGGACAGGAAAATGGTAGAAAGATGGAAGAAATAAGAAAAAAATATTAATAAACAATTGTTAGGCTTTGTTTTACTTGGGCTAGTGTTGGCAATGTAATAAAAGACTTACACTGTATAATACAACTTGCATTACACCAATCGGTCTAGTTGTGTGACCGAAATGCTGACTACATGTACATGTTCTAGTTATTCTATCATAGAAACTTACATGCATCATCTATAAATATAGAAAGAACATCATTCCCTATAATGTTTCTCAAAATAAAGGGCCTACAATTTAGTGAGGAGACTACAGAGTCCTACAGTGTACAATAAAGAACAGGTACATTAAAGACAGTTGGGATAAAAAATAATGTATCATATTTTCAGTTACATGTATGATTGCCCTTGCATGTTCTAAGTTACAACATTCTCAGGGAGTCATGCTAGAGTCATCCTTTGACAAATCACGCAACCAATCAATCAGTCTGAGACTCTGACTCTGAGTAGACTACAACATGGATGGTGTATCCAGGGATCTTTCCAACTTGACAAATCATCAGTCTCAAATTGGCCCATCTCTGCAAAACACTGCCAATAGTCCGGCAGCCACTGAGCTACACCTCGTTTTGTTGAAATAAGTTTTTTTCTTGATGGATTCTGTTTCCTTAGACATTGCAGATGACCAAACAGAAAACTGGAGCTTTGTCAGTGTTGAGCAATTTAAGATATGGCCAAAAACAAAATGGCCGCCAAAATAGCCTATTTTCAGTAAAATTTGAATTATTTCATAATACATTACAAAATATTGGCAGAATGGTGTGCTTATAATTCATGAAGACCATTGTCAACACATTCTTGACGACCATACATGAACATAGATGACCATAGATGATCTAATTAGCATATTTTCCATTGTAATTGTTGCTAATTTGCATATTCAAAATGGCGGATAAATGCCAGCTGTTAAGTTAAGAATCACAATAAAATAGTATGATACTCATTTCTTTCGATCTTATGTTTTTAATTCTTAGAATAACCCACGTGTACCAATATACTTATGTCATACTCATTTGTCATTAATTACTAATTTAGATAATGGGAAAAAACAAAATGGCCACCAAAATGATAAATTTTAAGCAACATTTGCCATAAGTATTATACATTACGGAAATTGGCAGAGTAGTATACTGGTACTTCGTGAATCAGAGATGAATTGATTTGGATATTTCACTTTAGGCTGTTGTATGTTTGCTCATTTACATATTCAAAATGGCGGCAATGTTAGTTTATCACACAATTTCTATCAATAGTCTATAGTAATAAACATTTGTTTTCACAATAGGTTTGAATTCCTAAAATACCATTTCGTGAAAAATGATAATTTGATCACTCTTCTTTCATGAATGTGTTACCATTTTATAGCGATATTAGGAATTTTACCTTCACAATTCATCTTGTACGCAATTCTTTTAAGGATACGCCTTTTCTTCCTTTGCTGAACTGAGCCCACGCATCACTGTCATTTTGATTTACATTTTTTTGCTGCCAGAGTCTGATCATTTAGACATCGCACGGATGCATGGCACGCACAGAACATTGTGCAAGCTAATTTGGCTTTGTTGCATCCACATCCTGATGATTTGCATGGGTTGTCACTTGCACAATTGCAACGTATAAGTCTCGGTATGTTTGCAGGTGCAAGTTTCACATTTGGTGGAATGGTTACCGGGATGATTGACTTTGTTGCTTCATCTTTCACGTAACCAAATGCAGTGGGATCCAATGTCCATGGATTCAATTCCGAAGCACTCTTCCAAATCCATGTTTGAAGATGGGCACGCTTAACATTATCTCTGAAAGCTTCAGTTGTTGGTGGCATTGCAGCAAGATTTGGAGTGTGGTAGCTCCTGCTTTCCCGACCCGTGTAGTCCACACATTCAGTCGGGCATCTGACAGTGTCGTAGCCTTGGGTTGTCCATATCATGATGTTATGAGCGCTGTTGCATCTTTCATCACATCGGCCATATCTGTATGTCTCCAATCGATGGCGATGGGAACCCATTTTTCTGCCGCAGCACTTTTAGTAAAGTTCCTTTGCAAACTCCAAAATGTGCACCAACAGTATCACAACCTGTCAATGGGCGACCTGCTAACATAAGGGATGATAAGGGATGATGTCTCTGTGTCTGTCCACTGTGGCATGTATATCGAATACAGAACTGTCTCTGATGGGCGACTCCATTATCAAGGGTGACTGAAGGCCTTGCTTTTGGTAGAAATATGAAGCAGAAGAACATAGACATCTGTGTCTTCTGCAAGCACCCTGATGGATCGTCCTTCATCTGCAAGCATGATAGCCTGCTGCACAATAATCACATCAGCCTCCTCATGATATGTGGCCATATCGTGCCATTGGATTGGAACACCACCTGGACCTAGTTGAACAGGAGTGCCATCTTGGCTGGTGATCACAAGCTTGTGTTTTATGATGAAACCTGCATCGCCTTACAGATGTTGACAAATGATGTTAATCAACTGTTTCTTGTTCTCTGTGACTGTCAGAGTCAGTTTCTGAGACGGAAGGGATAAAGTTGGACTCAGTTGGAAAACTCTGCAACCATCATTGCCTCTCGATATCCTGGTTGTACACTTGGTACTGTAATCATTGACCTGTCAAAGACCAAGTACACACCACCGGATTTTAGTCTCTCTTCAATCTTGCCTTTGAATTTTGATACAAAGTCCATCACTGTTGGTTGTCGTGTTGGTGATGATGAAGGCCAATTATGGGATCCAAAGGAGAGCACATCCATCGATCATTCTACACGTTTCTTCAAGTATCGCGTGTCTAGCTGATACTTCAACCTTTGTCTCTGGTTCTTCAAAGCGGCCTTGGACTTCGAGATATCCATATCTCCAGACTCATCAAACAGAGCTGTAGGAACTGGCGACAGCTCGCATGACATTACATCATGAAATTCAACATCTCTGGAACTTGGTTGTAGACCTATCACGCGAGAGTATATCAACTTGGTATCGTATACCTTGGAATCGCCTATGTCACTTCTGACAATTGATTTCTTCATGACAGCCATGGTTTGAACTTTCTTCGAAATTGTGTCGTAGAAACCTCCAGGCAATTTCCGTTCAAATTCACCCATTTGCTAAGCACCAGTTTCAACTACTCTGTCAACATTCATTGATTCAGGAGCGATCTGTCCATTGACCACATTGATATTGTTCGCTGGGTGCTTCTTTGGGTCCATTGGATCGATGCTCACATCCAGTTTTCTGCGCAACCAGTCTCTGTCACCTTGGTCTGCAGATATCCTTCTTCTTTGTGCACTGTTTTAGAACTAGCGGACTTGTCTCTCAGAGTTGGAACGTCTTCCACAAGTCTGATACATATGTGCAAGCTAAGGGCCCATGCATGTCTTGAGAGTTTCTGGCTTTAGAGTGATGCCAATCACACCAGCTTCACCATGCCCATGTCGCTCCATATGCCATTCCATAAGCCTTGAGTACGTGTGTCTCATCACATGAGACCCTTTCATGGAATACTGGAGTGCATCTCCTGGTAGGGCTTCCATGCGTCGAAGGTAGAATAACTGATATCGCGCGTAGTTAACATGTCCCGACGCAAAGAAGCAGGGCATCATAAGCCTCACTACCTCCAGGTGTAGAGGCCAATCACTTTAATTCTCGTTCAGCCCGTACATAGAGCATCATTATCAGTACTGGTTTGATCAGGTTGTACCTCTACTGCAACCCTGTACAGTTGTTGATCTGCAGTGAAGACAGTGAAACATTGACCAGTTTTCTCTGTTTAACTGCTGTGATTTGCTCATGGCTATTATTATTGTGTCTGGATGTGCTGGTGGCATATTAATCAACGATAGATACACTGCTTTAGTTTTTGGTTGTGTGGCTTCTCCTTGATTGCGACACAAATGCGTATTATATCCATTGAATTCAGGACAGTTATCATGCTGCACAACATCTGTCAAGAATCTGAGGTCACATTCATTAGGTCTCTGTCCAGAAACCATATGAGCGAGAACATTAAGTGGTGGAACTTGGTTCTTGACAGGTGGCATATCTGGTTTTCTTGGACTATTGTATCTCATGATGTCAAGCTTGTAGTCAATATCTCTAGACATCTCAGCCTTCTTCAGTTGTGAAATATCTTGCTGATCATCATGGTGCATGCTTGTATCTGGCTGGGTCATGAGAACTGCAAGGGAAGTTGTCAACTATGATCTGAAAAAGACCATCTTCAGCACTTGATAATGCTGTCAGTTCAGTGTTTTTCCCTGCCTCTACAGCTGCACACTTCTTGAATCGTAGCAGTTCATCATAGATGTGTGTATGTTCAACAGGGTATCTCTACAAATACATTTGCTTTGAGATTATAGGCTACATCAATTTGCTTTAATTAAAAAAAGGCGTTTATGTGTATACATTGATTGCTTGTTATCGAAGTAGAAATCGCAAACAGCCAATCTCTTGTATACTTTTTTTATGAATCACCCTGTATAAATGTATAAATTGCTCTGCCATCTAAAACCACGTTTAGAATTATCAAAATATATATCATATATATCATATCTGGTTAAATAAAATCAGAAAAGCGTTCTTAATGCAGCAGTAAAGCATGACAAAGTAGACATTTTCACATATTCTTAAAGCAGAAAACGTCATTTCGGCGGCCATTTTGTTTTTGCTTATAATCACAAATTGCTAAAGGCGATATGATGATAGGCGACATGAATTAGCTTCAATTAAAATGCAGCTTATAAACATCACAAAATATGTTGCCTGAGTGTGTATACATTGATTGCTTGTTATCGAAGTAGAAATCACAAACAGCCAGTCTCTTGTACACTTTTTTATGAATCACCCTGTATAAATAATGTATAAATTGGGCTCTGCCATCTAAAATAATATTTAGAATTATCAAAATATGTATCATATATATCATATCTGGTAAAAAAATCAGAA